TTAAGAAAATTTAAATATAATATTTAATATTATAATTCCTGATTCCTGAAACGCTTGCCTATTAAAAATTAAAAAATTAAAATTTTACACTTAGACCTTTTCTGCAATTAAAATAAAAAAATTTTATAGTGCGCTTTACTATTTACTTTATTTATAATATCTTAAATGCTCTCTCTTTATGTTAAACAAAATGTAATTTATACTAAACAATTTCGAAAGCAGCGAGTTAAAACACTGACAATTAAAATAATCTCTTCTAGACATTTTAATAAGCTTTTCAAGTTTAGTTAACCATTCGAAAATTTCATGAAAAAAGCTTCTACATTCTGAAGGATGTAGCATTTCCTTTTTTTCAATCTTGAATTTTGCGAATCCTAAACTAATATCCTTTTGTTCATTTCCAAATTTCTTTAAGTCTTAGAAGAGCCTAGGGTAAGTGCACTATTTGCACTGAAAATCCAACTATTTCAAGATCAATGAGAAGAAAAACTTATTTTCAAAAAAGTATTGGACTCGTCCTCTTTCTCTACGCGTTGATTCAATTATAAGATTTGAGAATCAAAGCTTTGAGAAGCTCTCAAAAGATTTTTTCTTCCTCAAAAACTTTATTCTTCTTTAGAATTCTTTCGCATCTTTTGTCCTTTATCTTCACAGTTTCATAATTCAAAACAAAGAATAATAATCATATACGCTTGAAGATAATTTTCGTGACTTACTTTAGCGACAAAAAATGATACTGAAAAATGATACTTTTAAGTATTGCAATCACAAAAAAGATGTATTTTTTTTTAAAGTCGGAGTAATCTTAATCCCATAAGCTCTATGTAACAAGTCGATTCAATGGTTACAGTTTAATAACATCCAAATGGCAATAACGAGAAAAAGCAAGCAAAAGAATCGAAGAAAAAATCAATTTTGTCGAATTATCCCTCTCATTGGTTTCTTCCCAATAAAAACTTGTGTCAAGGACGAAATTCTCTCTCTCTCTCATTGCGAATCCCATTCAATAATCCCTCCCTTCCATGGCTTTCTTCGTTAGATTAACCGGAAAAAGTGTTTGATTTAAGAGCAAGTATAATAATAATATTGAAGAAATATTTCTCTCATTTTTTCTCTTCTCTTTCATTAATTAGCAAGATTATTATTATTATTATTATTATTATTATTATTATTATTATTATTATTCCATAATTTAAGTCAGTTGTTTTTGTCTGCCGTAACAGTTATCCTTCAATTTTTAACAAATGGTCTTGACTGACCATTTGATACTTTTTATTTCTTTTGACGACTCAGTTTTTTAAAGTTTTATTTACTATGTAGTTATACTGACTATTATGCCATTGTGACGAGCATCTTATCATGCAAAGGATAATTGTACGGCCATTTCGAATAACAGAAAAATTTTCAACAATTGGTCTTTCAATCGCTTATGAGCAATTTGTGTCTACAAATTTTTCGCGTTATATCTAACTCTGCTTTATGACACTTCTCTACTTCTGTGTTTTTTTTTTGTTCATCTGTTATTTCATTATCGCATTTATTCGAATATCTGAAGACGATTTGATTAAAAAGCTGAAACATATAATATTACCGAGTTTATAGCTTACTTATAATTATGGACTGTAATTCAATAAACATTTTGTTTTTCATATATTTTTGAAACTGATTCTTATATGGTCTTTACTTCCTTTATATTATTATTATTATTACTTCAAAAATCGAAACCTCTTCAGAAACGTAATCACTTTTATGTTTATTTTATGTTATTTGATTCAAGAAATCGATTGTATAAGAAATTCATGTCAATCTTTCACATAAAGGAAATAGCTGCGAAAGGATCGAGTCCCTTCAAACTTCTTTTCAGGTCGCGTTATCGTTCGCGATCCACAATTAGCAATTCCAAGTTGAGAGCCACGGAGGCGACGGGTCCCCGACGTGCACCACTGCCGTTGTCAGCCGTCTGGTGCAGGCTCACAGCAACTTCTTCCTCCACAACGCTCATTCTTACTCACTAGCCACGAGGACGCGGCCATCGGGGTCCGGGGGCTCTGACCTCTTGTCCGTATGCCGCCTGCCGGTCTCGCCGGTCTCTGCGGCGTTTAGGGTGTGTTCTCCGGCACGGCGCCGAATCGTCCGGGCGCCTTGGTTCTCTTCTCTAATTGTCGAACTTTGTCCTGATACTGTCCAAGGTGTGATACACGCAAGACTCGTATGCATATCATTCAAAAAACGAGGGACACTAAAGGATTAAGAATCCACATAAACTAACAAGTACTAACTTTATCTCATTATGTATATATGAGAGACTCGTCCATTACGAGTCAAGGGGTATCAATGGGTCATTGACCGTTTAAGATAAACCAGAGTGTTAGATAATATTGTAATAACTTTCTGGTATACAATTGTTACTTTGTTGTCCTCGTATATATGAAATAGCAGGTGACAGAAATTAAAAAACTTGATTCGGGATGTTAATGATTTTTGTAATGCTATTTAAAAAAACAACCATAACTATCATACGATCATAAAAATCTTTTTTTTTTTGAAAATT